CACAAGCTTCCGCATTTCACTGCCATGCTCCCCTCTCACCATTGCCAAACTCACCCAACTCATCTTCCTTCTTATCAGCTGGACCAACCTCTCTGGTCTTGTTTTGAGCTTCCTTTCCCATCTCAGTAACCTCGTTTTTCAAGATCTCTCCTTTAATAATCTTTCCACAACAGTCCCTCCCTTTCTCAATTGCCCTCACGGGTCCCATTCCTGATTCTTTCGAGCAGGGACGGATCTGAAAGGGGGCAAGCACCATGTGGAAGTGTTTTTTTTTTTTTTTTTGGGGTTAAATTTTCTTACTTTTGGCTTGAGAAAAAAAAAAATTTCCCCAACTTTTTTTTTTTTTTTCATTTTGACCCTCATAAGTCATGCTTTGGATCCGTCATGTGTGTGACCTAGTTGTAATTCTTTTTCTTTTTTCAAATCTTTTCAAAAATAGATGAAATTAAAAAATTTTGACAACAAAATATATGCACTTTGACAAATGAGTATAAAAATTAAAAAACTACAATCCTATCAATGAAAATAAACTACTCATTTATAAATTTTTAAATTTAGAACATTTATAAAATTAAAACAGATGCATAAAAAATTAAAAAAATAACAGCAATCGATTAATTGCCATATTAAAAAAAATAACAGCAATCAATTAATTGCCATTTCATTCTTACTGATGTTTCTTAAAAAAAAAAAAAAGAAGTTACCTATGTTTTCACTGCAGAACAAACAGTAACAACGATTATATTTTATAAAAAAAAGATGTTTTTTCATATATCAAACATAAGCTTAATTTCCTTGTTTTGTTTTTTTGGGGTGAAAGTAAACTCTAGCACGTTCTTTTAAAAATAAGTTCAATGACTGAGAGCATTGAAAAAAAATCTAAATTTCACAACGTATGATAATGTTCTAGTGTAATTGATACGAGTAATAAAAAGGCTTGAACCAGAAGCATGTTTCTTCATCTTGAAATGTTGTTACAGAGTCCTAGTTCTGCAAGTTAGGCAGGGAGTTGATCGGGATGTTGATCGAGATGGCAATGAAGCAATTAGATGGAAGCTTGAAAAGCATAGTAATTTTTCTATTAAATGTAATAATATGTTCAATGGTGATAATACTAATTCTCATCCTATTTGGAATGAGTCTTTCTTTTGGCTAGCACTGCATAATAAACTTTTGACGAATGAGCCTCGAAGAAAGCAAGGCATGTATGTTCGACTGCTTGTATATGGTGTAACCATGAGGTAGAAGAAGACTCTTTCACATTTTTCAAGATTGCGATAAGGCTAAAGCATTGTGGTTTTCTATTAAAAAATCGAGTCTTATCTTGAGTTTTTTCAATTGTGATATGTGGAATTGATCATCTTGAACATCAATAATGCAACAGTGGGGATGGATGTAGAGAATTAGAAGGTAATGTTTGTCGTTATTTGCTGTCTCCTATGAAAACGAAGAAATGAGAATTTTTGAGGATATTATTACTAGAAGTTAACAACTGTTTGTGAAAGGCTATTGTATCAAGCTATAATGAGAGTTTGAAACGAGTTAATCTTCATGGAGTCAAGAAGAATGAGGGAAATCCTCCTATGCTGCAAGATTAATATGGTTCATGTGGATAGAGCTTTTTCTCATGGTAGTAAGGACACGAGTTGTAGTGGTATTGTTAGGGATAATAATCATCAATCTCATTTGGAGGCTTTTATACTTAAGCTTTCCAAGGGGATCCTCTTGTTGTGGAACTCTGGGCTTGCCTTATTCGGCTTCAGCAACCATGGGTCGGGGCACATCGGAAGGTTTGGCTGGAAAGTGACTCCCTAGAAACTCTTCATCTAATCAAGGATGGGAACAATGATGTCCTTGAGAGTTGGAGTTTGATTCTAGAGTGCTGTGATATGATGTTACTGGATTCGACGATTGTACTTGAATATGCTCGAAGAGAGGAAAATATGGATGCTAATTTTGGTTTTCATTTTTTTTTTTTACTTGTAGAGGATCTTTGTTATTTACTTTCTCCTCAACAGACTAGCAAGCTTTTTTAGTTTTTCTCTGTTTATCAAATTTTTTTTTAAACTCACATACATCATTACGCGGCAGATGAAAAATTAAATTAATGAATCAACAATTATATTCAATCTTGCATTTATTCCCCAAAAAAAAAAAGATAAGAGATTCGTTTTATCTCCGTGCGCATATATTTTTTCATTTTTGTCCTATCAAACACAATCAATTTCATATTATCAAAAAGTCGAATTGAAGGAAAAAATTGGTACGTAACTTGAAACAAAACCCATAGTTTTCTCTGTTTGTCTTATTTGTATCGTTTTTTGGCATAATTATATCGAGTGGTTAAAACTGTGGTCAGTAGTTCAGCCGTCACAAGTCATAACATGTTCTATATGTGCGTGTGCGTGTGTGTATAGACACACGAGCACGAAGGGATCAACTAGTCATGCACAAGGACCAAACCCAGCATATAATCTGAGTCGAGAAGAATGGCAGCCATGTTTCGTGTGTGCTTCCTTCTGATACTCATCTCCCCTGCTCTGCCGTGCTCTGCAACCCAGCTGATAAGAAAGCCCTCCTCCAGCTCAAGCAAGACCTCAACAACCCCTACCTTCTCGCCTCCTGGGACTCCAATACCGACTGCTGCTACTGGGACACCATCAAGTGCGACCCCAAAAACCACCGCGTCATCTCTCTTAACATCTTCGATTCGCAAGCCGAACCCAATGACTTCTCCGATCAAATCCCTCCTTCTATTGCCAATCTCCCTTACCTCCAATTCCTTAATTTCCACAAGCTTCCTAAGCTCACCGGCTCTCTCCCTCCCGCCGTCGCCAAACTCACCCAGCTCACCTTCCTTCGCATCAGCTGGACCAACATCTCCGGTCCTGTCCCCAGCTTCCTTGCCCGACTCAAGAACCTCACTTTCCTCGATCTCTCCTTTAATAACCTCTCCGGAACAATCCCTCCCTCCCTCTCCAAATTGCCTAATCTTAACACTCTTCGCCTGGACCGCAATCACCTCACGGGTCGTATCCCTGAGTCCTTCGGCTACTTCAAGAGCAGCCCTGGTCTCTATCTCTCTCACAACAAGCTCTCCGGTAAGATCCCCAGGTCTCTCGGTAACTTGAACTTCACTTCCATCTACTGGTCCCGGAACAATCTGGAAGGGGACGCATCCATTCTGTTGGGGTCCGATAAGACGGCCCTGCAGACAGTGGACTTGTCGAGGAACCTGCTGGCGTTTGATTTTAGCAGCATGGTGCTCCCCAGCAGCCTGACGTCGTTGGATCTGAATCACAACAAGATACACTGCAACCTTCCGGTGGGGATGACGTCCATGGATTTTCAGCATTTGAACTTCAGCTATAACAGGCTGTGCGGCCGAATTCCGGTTGGGGGAAAGTTGCAGAGTTTCGACGTATATTCGTATTTCCATAACAAGTGCCTTTGCGGCTCCCCGTTACCAGCATGCAAATGATTGCTGTTACGTTGCCTTCTTCTAAAAAATAATTGGCGCTGGAGCGTACGTAACCCCTAGGCCAGGAGCAAGAATATGTTTAGATGATGATTTTAATATATGTTTTTCCAGCAGCAAGCTTGGCTAACTGCTAATTTGCTCCACCCAACAAATCATAATAATGTTGATACTTATATTAATTAAGTCAGCTTCTGATTTCTCGAATGGATGATGGGATATTTTGGCCTAAAAAATTGATTTTATTTTAGTATTTATCATCATTGCAGTAACATTAGAACTATCTAGATTTATTTTAGAACAATAGAATTTAAATTTTTATTTATAAATCTAAACCGGGACGATCAATTGAAAGATACTTTTTTATTAAAAAATATAAAATATTTTTAAAACTATAATATAATATAATAGTTAATTATCTTTAAACTAATATATTTTTCAATATTTACTTTTATTTAATAAAATATTTTAAAAAAATATAAACTAATTTATTTATTATAAGTATTTTTAAAAATTCATTAATTACATTTTAAAAAAATGAAAAACATTTTTATAATTTTTAACATCCCGTCGTTAAAAATATTTTATATTTTTGGATGGACAAGTACTAACAAACATTGGAGAGTGCTCTCCTGCTCAGTTCGAAACCAAGAGGACAACCATGCTTCAACTTTTTTTTTTTTTTTTCCAATGAAAAGAAGACGTCTTTTTTAACCTTTGACTTGGACGAGTGCTAGCTCGCCTGTAATTCGATTCAAAGCAATATGACTTTCCGGGAGCACCGGAGTAAGGAATACCCTCTCAGGTATTTAATTATGCAACAAGCTTTGAGTTCAGTCCAAAATAACAAGTATATTATTAAAATTATTTTAAAAATTGTAATTTTTTATTTTATCATTTTTAACAATTGTATAGCTATAATAAATTAGTGTCAAGAAATTCAAGTCATAATAAATAAATAAATAAAAGGTAAATTAAAAAATTAATTAATCTAATTTTAACGTATATTAAGGAGAAGAGGAAGTATGGAAGAGAGATACAATAATCTATGACGTTAAAGCAAGTCTTACTTTTTTTTTATTACTTTTTTGACCTAACATCCGCTTTGCATTAAATTAAATTAGAAGGAAAAAATAGTGCAGAAAATGGAGTAGATGAATCACTGAAAAAAAACCCAAGCACTCCTACTCTTCGTATTCAGCGGTGGCTAAGATTTTAATTTGATATGAATATTGATGGAAGTCAAAGTTGAGGGGGCGTGGTCGGGTAACTCGGGGACCAGTGCGTCCAGCGAAGCAGCACTTGAGTTCAATCTAAGCGGCCGCCACTGTCCGTCGTCATGATTCTACGGCTTGATCCTGATCCATCCTAATCCCCACGCACCCTGCACTCCCCTGCTGGCTTTCTCTGTACTTTCTTGACCCCCTCTCCCCAAAAATGCATGGCAACCATCTTTCATTGTTTTTCATACTCGCTAGTCTTCTGTTAAAATCCAGGTTGTTTATTGCTTCAGCAGCTGGAAGCCGGCGTCACTTCATACATCACATTCTTCCGCCTTCTATATAAATGGATCATTCATCCATCACACCATCACCCATCCAGCCACCATCCACCCAGTCATGGCCCTCGTGTTTCGTCTATGCCTCCTTCTGATGCTCATCTCCCCTGCTCTGGCGGTGCTCTGCAACCCGGCCGACAAGAAAGCACTCCTCCAGCTCAAGCATGACCTCAACGACCCTTACCTTCTTGCCTCTTGGAGCCCCGATACCGATTGCTGCTACTGGTACACCGTCAAGTGTGACCGCAAAACCCACCGTATTATTTCCCTCTCCATTCTCAATTCCGTACCCGACACCAACTTCTCCTCCCAAATCCCACCTTCCATCGCCGATCTCCCTTACCTCCAGACCCTGATTCTCCATAAACTCCCCAACCTCACGGGCCCACTCCCCCCCGCCATCTCCAAGCTCACCTCCCTCAGCTACCTCACCATCAGCTGGACCAATTTGTCTGGCCCAGTACCCGACTCCCTCGCTCGTCTTCAAAACCTCCAGTTCTTGGACCTCTCCTTCAACAACCTTTCCGGCCCAATTCCCGGCTCTCTTTCTCTGCTACCCAAGCTCATCTCTCTCAGCCTGGACCGCAACAAGCTCACCGGCCCAATTCCGGACTCCTTTGGTTCCTTCAACTCCTCCCCTGCCCTCTTCCTGTCCCATAACCAGCTTTCTGGCAGAATCCCACCGTCCCTCGCCAACCAGGACCCGTCCCGTATAGAGTTGCAGAGAAACAGACTGGAAGGCGATGCCTACATGCTTTTCGGGCCCAACAAGACGACCCAGATGGTGGACTTGTCGAGGAACTTGCTGTCGTTCGATGTCGGCAGGGTGGAATTCCCTGCCAGCTTGATATCGTTGGACCTGAATCATAACATGATATACGGGACGCTTCCCCAGGGATTGAAGGCGGTGGATTTTTTGCAGATGCTCAACGTGAGTTATAATAGAATGTGTGGTGAAATTCCTCAGGGTGGGAGGCTGCAGCGGTTCGATGTGTCTGCCTATTTTCATAACAAGTGCCTCTGTGGATCTCCGCTTCCCGCCTGCAAGGGACTAGATTAGGTCGTGCCCTTCAACGCCACCGTCTTCTATGTATTTCTCGCTATTTACTAATCATACTGTGGAAGGACAGAAGAGGAGATGATCCATGGCAGTTAACTTACTTTCCAGTTCCGAATAAATCTATTTCAAACTACTACTGATGGCATTTGTATCCTAGTGTATTTTAATGCCCAGCACAGAGAGCATATAATAAATTATTCAGATTACAACTTTCGACATGAATGCGAAAAATATCAGCTCATGGAATACCCCGATGGATGATCCTTTTCGTTTGAGCATTGTCGAGCAGTAATCCGCCACGCTCGAGCATTGTTGAGCACGACTGGCTAACAGCTCGCCCGCTTACTCACCCTTTTATTTGCTTCCTTTTTTTGAACAGTCTTTAGTATAAATATTTTTCTTAGTGACTTTAAATCTAATATTTACGGGAAATGTACATAGCCTTCCATGGTCTATCAACATATCAGTAGCAGGAATATGCGTTCTAATCAAGGAAGCAGGCATACTGATATGACAAAGATGTGACCAATAAACCGACTCCGGCCGGGTGTCACTTGCAGCTGGTGGATGCTTCCTTTGCTCTTATAACATTTAAGAGTAGCCCGAATTGTAAGACAGATAATATATACATTTATATAATGTCCAATAATTTTTTTGGTATTATCAATACAAAACTGCCATATCTATTAGTTACTTGTTTAATTATATTTAACATGATTCTTAATCAAAATTTTAAAGAAAGTGATTTCCTCATCTGAGCATGTTAGAATACAATTGATGGCTCCTCATCACGTTAGCAGAACCAACATCAGATTCTCTATCCATTAATTTTCTGCCTAAAGAAATGAAAGTTAAGAAAATATCAATCAAGAATTGCTAAAAAAAAATTTATATCAATCAAGAATCATTTGTTATCATAATTTGAATGAATACTTGTCAATGTCAATAAATTTTTTATCAACAAGTATTTATTCAGATTTTAATAATAATTCATTTTGAATTAATAACAATTCATTCGGACTTGTTTTTTATTTGAGTTTTAATAATAATTAGTCTTTGATTGAAATAAATTTTCTTTTCTAATCCTTAATTGCTATTTTTTCTTGAAAGTTTAAGGGTTAAGGGCAATTTGCCACACAATTTTTTTCTCCATATATACTTGATATCCTTAATTTTTTGTCAAAATAATGTCACCTACCTACTTTTAAGAAGGATGCAATTTCGCCCCACCGTTAACCTACATATTCTTTGACCATTAAATCATTCAGATTGACCGAGCAATTCAAGGTGACAAGTTAAATGGGATGAGCAGGATGAAACATGGGCTCCACATGGCATCCCCATTGTAGACGTGGCTTCTTCATTCTGAGCCTGACAAATTGGTGCCCTTCGAATGGTGAGAGAGATGTGTGAGGAGGACAATGAGAGGCGACGGAAAATATAGCAACGACTGTCGAGGATGGCGAGGCAATGATGAGGATACCTTTGAACCATCAAGCTTCGTTCTTGCAATTTTCACTTCCTTTGCTCTCTGGCTCATGACGGCAAACACAAAAACCTCTTACCTCTCATTCCCACAGTTAATTTCCCTCCAATTTCTCGCCCTTGATCTTGTCATCCTCTTCCCGCACCCTGATATTTTAAAGATTTTTGACACCATCGAGAACGATGATTTCCTCTCCATTGTCATTTTAAAACTAAGGTTAATCGAAGGTTTTTGTCCTGGGTTTTCAGGTTGGTATCTTCCGCTGCCAAGGATCTATTAAGGAAGATGATATGTAGGGATGCATCCAGGTGATTATCTACTGAGGAAGCCCCAAGTATGTTTTATATCTCTTTCATTTCTGTTTTAATTAATCGGGTGATTTTGGTCCAATCTTTTGGCATGTTCTTTCTTTCTGTGTTTTGAGATTTGGATAATTAATTAATTGGATATTTATGAAACTACATGCATGCATTTGATGAGTGATTTTTGGTCACCCATGGATCCTGAGTCGAGCAGAGGCCACCGATTGATTGTTTGTTCTTCGTTTTGAGAATTAGGGAACAGGAGATCCAATCAGTTTGGCAAATTTTGTCTCTGCAAAATTGTATGTTCTCTGTTGCTCCCATCCGGCCAGGAAAACTCCAATAAGATCCATTGCTTGTCTTTCGCTAGCTAGAATCTTGTGTTGATTAAGGAAGTTTTCTAGCCCTAAGAGGTAAGTTTAAGTTTCTCTAACCTTGATTGGGATTGTGGATTTTAAATATTATGATTGTTTGGGAGAAAACCTAGGCTGTTTGAAGATGAAATTTGAATTTTGGTGAATTGATGGTTGAAGAATGTGATTATTGAATTACAATAGCTTAGTTATACTTGATGGAATGTGAAATTATGATTGAATTGAAGGTTATGTTAAATTTTGGGTTTTTGTTGTATTTATTATGAATTTTCTAGGGATTTTTGGCTTGGCTAATTGGATGATGGTTTGGTCAAAGAATTTATTTGGTTAGAAACTTTGAATAATAAGGATTCTATGTTTAAAATTTTATTGAGTTTGGAAGTGATTTGGTTTATCGTTTTGAACTTGAGATTTGTATTCTGAAAAGACTTATTTAAAGATAATTAATTAAATTGATTTGTAATGTAGACATTGGTGTGAGAGTTGATCTTTTGTGTTGATGGGATAAAATTGATAGTTGAAATACTTAAAAGATTGTTACTGATTGTGATAATGTGTATTTTTTTGTCTAGTTCTTGTTGAGGGCCTTATAGGCTTTGTTGTGGTTTCTGAGTAGCTAGGTTCCTACCTCTAGATCAAAGTGTGTAATGTTTGATTGTGTGAGGTGATTCTGGTTGGCCTTATTGCCTTTTTAACTTGAAGGGTTGAGTTAACTAGAGTTTAATTTTTGTTGTAACATGTGCATGCAATAAATTATTTTTGTGTATGTGAGTTTCTAGTAATACTTATCGATTATAATTTTTCTTCTTTTGGTATGAAATCACTGATATTTAATTTTTTTGAGTTTTCAATAATGGGATGAATATGGATTTAAACAAATAATTTTTGAATTATGTGTGTGTATAGGTTAACATGCAAGTTAGATATTGAATTATAAGTCAAGGGGCAATTTGAACCCTATACTTGTAATTAGTATGTTTAAAACATTGAATAATTAAATTTGAGATAATCTTACCCTTACCGTTAAGTTCAGGCTAAACATTGTTATTGTGGGTCTACACTTTCTCCCCTTGCATCTTTGAATTATCCTCCCTCCTCTCTCTCCCTCCCCCAATATTAGTTTTTATATTTTAAGAGCCAATTATTTTTTTAAAAAAGGTTTCGAGTCCTATACATTATTTGAGTATTCAAAAAAATATTTTATATTTTTATAAAATAATATAATTAATTTTAAAGTAAAAATTAAATAAAAAATAATTTTATAAACAAAATTAAGGGCATGTACAAATTTTTAGCTCTACTATTGAATAAACATAATAAATAGAACAATATTCTTGGATAATCATTTGATTATCATTCATGCCAGACTTAGTTAAAAATTTAGAATAAACTAGAATAAATACACTTTGTATGTAAGGATTAAATAATATAAAAAGTTAAATAAAATTAATTTTAAAAAAATAGTACTTTACTCATAATTAAATAATTTTTCTCAAATTTTGTGTAAATGGTGAAAATTTGTTTTGAAATAAGTGTCCAACTTTTTGATGAGAGATAATTTGATTGTGAAACTAAAGCTAATAGCTAGAATTAGAAGAAAGCTTTTATAGACACCTAAATCACATTAATCGAATGTCGGATGAAAAATGGGGCATGTTGAAAGTGCCTCGGTTGTCGTCAAATGATAGCAGAATTCTACTGTCAAAAAGTGTGCAATGCGTCATGGCATATTGTTCTTGAACTATGGCGCATGGCACATAGGCTCAAGAGCTGCAGCATATGCTTCCTATTCTGCACTATTTCACTATTTTCTAATTTTAAGTAAATGCATTGATTCTTTTCAAAATTTCATGTTTATGCATAATATTTGAACTTTGATTAGTTATTGTAAAGTTCTTTTAGGATGTTTTAAATATTAAAAACTCTGGATCCCATTTGTACAACTTGATAAGTTTGACAATTACATTGATGTATTGGTTAAGGAGGATTAATAAAGATAATCTTACTTGTCTCTCCCAGATATTACAGCCTTTACTATAAAAAAAAAAATAGATCATTGAACTCATTCCCATCAATTTTGACCGAACACCATTTATTTTTATATTTATGAGGCCCATAATGTGTTAATCTCTTTAATCTTTTTGTCTTTGTTCTCAATCTTAGCTTAAAAAAAAGAGGTTTAAAAAATTTTTATCTGAAAACATTTACAAAAATAATACCAATAATTATAAATTAAGAAGTTCTACTCATAAAATATCAAGCTCCAGTTGTAAGTTAAAGGTAAATAATTGTGAAAAAAACACAAGTGCTTTACTATTTTAGTTATAAAATAAGAAATATTTATAAAATAAGAATATGACTCGTGAGTTAAGAAGTTTTAGTAATAAAATGTAAAGTTTCAATTGTAAGCAAGGGATAAACAATTGTATGGGATAGACACAGGTACTTTAGTATCTTAGTCATAAAACAAGAACTATGACTTGTTAATCAAAAAGTTCTATTCATAGAATGTAAAATTTCAGGTATAAGTGAAAGGTAAACAATTGTACAGGATAAACATAAATGCTTTAACATATTAGTTATAAAACAAGAAATATAACTTGTGAATTAAAAAATTCTACCTATAAATTAAGTTTTTTCAAAAATAATTTGATTATTTTAACAAGGCCAATATATTCTTTCTACCCCAATTGCAAATTACACTTAAATTCGAAAGGACTTAGATATAATTTTTAAATTTTATGATATTTATTTATAAATAAGTCTGTACTATAAGTTCTATACATAATTTTTCCCTTTTTTTCATATCAAATACAATCAATTTCATCTCTAAAAAATTCGGATTCATGAAAAAATCGGTAATCTAAACAAAGCCCATAGTTTCCTTTCTTCGTCTATTCCTTGCCTGGTTTTTCTCTTTTTTCTTTGACGTAGTTTCACGGAGAGGAGTTTTTAATGTTGGGGTCAATTCAGATGGGCTAACATGGGGAAGGAGATCCTCTCCTCATCCTTTCTCTCCTTTTTTCTCCACATCCCCATCTTCACCTTCAA